ATTTGAAGCAACTGTCCTCTCTCTCTCTGTCCAAGGAATGGCAGTTTTTATAAATGGAAATACCCATTGGAAAACGCTTCCATGCTGTATTCATGTGAAATATGGAAGGCACATTCTTTGCACCTCCGATATATAGAGTGTATATCTCCTTCAGTACCACAATCCAACTATCGAGTACCAAAATATCAAGTTTTAGCATAACTATTTTGATTTCTTGATTAATAAGCTCACATGATTAATCAGTGCCAAGCAAAAGTTGCGCCGCCAACGCGATTGAACTCCCAAGGTATCAGGGCACAAGTAATCCATCTTCAACCGACACTAATACGCGCTCGTGAGTGTCACCACCGGCTATACTCATCGCGGCTTTGTGGCATCGCCGCTTTACGCCCGCTATGCCACCGCTGGTGATTGCGGCTTCACTCTGTCGACAGTCGCTGGCGCCGCCGGGTATCGTGAGAAGGTGCTCAATTTCATAGTCAAGATACTTTTGCTATGATGGCAGGCCTTTGAAGAACGGGTTGTTGTAACCATCAGAGGGCGTCTGAACGAAATCCGCTGGGCAATAACTACTTTTTCAAAGCGTGCGAGGGCGAAATTCCTCTGGAAATTTCTCTAGAAGTGGTAGAAGGCAGCATAAAGCTCAGTCTTGCGGTAACATCCAATGGACTATACCTACGATACGGCAACCCAGCACTAACTACCTGGTAGGTAAGATAGGGTGTCCCCCTTCCCCCAAAATGCTTTCTCAGGAAGGAAGATTTGGCTACGCTAGACTGAGCAAGGAAAGATCAGTTGCAGTAGTCAACCACAAAACCAAAGCCTGCTCTTGGCTGGAGCTCTCCGAATCGTCTCAATCTCCTAGGGCACCTTGCGTAGCGGGCACGATCTGACCGTAAACAGTGTAATTTCTCGTATTGCGACACTCATTAAATCGAGCGCTATAGTGTTTCTGTTATCAGTAATGACTTGTGCGGCACTTCTAAGGGTGTCCACATACAAACATTTCATTCTCATGTCATTGTGCCGCTTTAGTAACCTGAACAACTTCGGTAAGGCGAGTAGGAAAGTCTACGAAGAAAGGTGGGATCCTTTTCACCATTAGTCGCCGTGCTGACAGCCCCGAGCTGGGTGTGGCTACGACTAGATGGTATTAGAGTCTTGTGAAGGATAACAAAATCATGCCAGTGGGACCGTAAGGGAGTAAGGGCAGCGGTGTAATGAGATGTGGTGCGCCACGGTTCCCGTGGTACCCGCCAGTACATTCAGCGATCAGCGATGACGTAACTACATTTTCAATAAAAAGAGTTATGGCTCGGTGCTCCGTGAGTCAACCTCGCTATCTTAAGTGGAATCGAGGCCGATCACAGGCGGCGATTATGTGTTCATATGAAAACAGCACTGTCTGTAAAGAAAAACCGTCACCGCACACAATCAAACTCTGCGGTTTGAAATTGACAACGATTTGCTTGAATATCGATCTATAATTAAGCAAATTACCGATCTGATGTAATACGTGAGGAACACATGCGAGGGGTTGACGAGACGAGCAGTCGCGCCAGCTCTTTCTCCACCGATTGTGGAAGACAGGCTGGCGCCGCGCAGAACCGAGCTCACCTCAAACACATTAGCGTCCAAAGCGAACAAGACTGTACATCTTCTCAGCGGTTGGTAATCACATGGCTCTACATTGGTAAACGTGGTCATTGCAAATCGTAGTGTTCCCTAATCGCTGAGCAATAATAGTTCTTTTTTCATGCTGGGTGGTGTTGGTTAACAGCAAGTCTACTGAAAAGGCAATTTGCAGTGGTAATAGGTAATGGTAACGTTTCCCGATCGGGAGTTTCGAATTCTGACCAATCAGGAAAAGGAAATAGGGAAAATAAAATTCTCTAAATAGCGATGGTTAATGTTTGCCCCTTGGGCCAACATCGATATTCGGGGCTCCTCAGTGAATAGGTTGACCGAAGTGAGGAACACAGATGACAGGAGATTTGACGAAAAGTTTGAAATGCGTTGGCGGGAATAATATTGGTAAAAGGCTATCAGGACGCTGTGCAAGGGGAAATCAGAAAAAAAGAGAATGAAACGGTCAAAAGTTGCAGAAAAGCTTCTTCTTATACTACGAGAAGCAATTTCGAACGAGTTTGCCCGTAGGGTGTTAGCCAGTAATCGCTATGGTTAGAAGATACGGGATGCACAGTATGTACTCACATATATCCACGCAGCACGTAGACCGCTTCATAGTAACTCCTTCGCTCTATATTTTACTTCGCATGATGCAATAAGAGCAGGTGCAGGTACGGTTCGTACCGTTTGTCGGCGCGTTTGAGTGCTCTGTAAAAAGAGTAGGCTAAGCAGTGCGCTTCTAAGGGGCGGGATTCGTCTGCAATATTTAATCTTACCGTCTTGGTGATTTATCGTGTCCAAACTGCCAAATTGCAAGCCCATCAATTTGTGTAAGATTAATGAACGGCTACTGCGAAATAGGCAAAAATGATGCGGGAACTTCCTCACATTCTC